GTTATAATCTCAGTTGGGAATTTGTGGTATTAATGAGGCAGGATTAGTGTAGGGTGTAATCTTGAGTCTCTCTCTTTTGAGATAGGAAAGAGATTAAACAAGCTAGCAGAGATGAGGGAAGAGAAATGCCAGCCTACATGAAGACTGCCCAGGAGCAGAAGCTCAAAAGAAACGAAACCCTTCCTCCAGAGTCGACAGAGAAAGCCTTCGCCTAGAGCCAGCACCCTGAACTGGGACTCCTAGCTTCTGAACTAGGACTTCTGGGACTCTGAACTGAGAAAATCAATTTGTTAAAGCCATCTACTTGTGGTACTTCTGTTAAAGTTATAGCAGCACCAATTAACTAAGACAAAGACTGCTATGAGAAAGAAGTTATCCTAGCGATTAAATTGCTTTCTGTCAAGATACGATTTCTGCGCATTTAATGTATCACCTTCTTTTGGGATAAAGGCAATTCAGCTCCTTTGATCGCCGTTTCAGTCGGGAGACTTCAGCTCGGAGTTCGCTTTGTAAAGCTTCTCCGTCAGGAACACTTCCAGGCTCTGACAAAATGGCAGGAGACGGAAGAGGGCTCAACACAGTGGGCACCGGAAAACCTTCTCTAGTGCAGGTCGTCTGAGTTTCATAGCGAATAAGACGAGACTGCAGTTCAGAAAATCCCCCATCTCTTTCTAAAGCTTTTCGGTCATCCAAGCAATATCTAAAATGAGGGAAAGACCATTAAAATCAAAGCTCCCATGAGAGCAAAGGGCTTTTCTGTGGCAATCAGAAAACAGTAAAACATTTACTTGTAAGAAAAGTTACAGCAAGTTCTTAAGTTACTAATGACTTAGAGATGTTCACTGAATGGCCCGTTTCCCTTGTAAGTGCAGCTTTTTCTAGCCTACTACGTGACACGGCCAGCGCCACTAGGAGTTGGAATCGACCCAACAGCAGGAGTTCCCCGTCCTCCCCCAAGACACAACGGAAGATGAAAAAACCGAAAGCACACTGAGTCCTCTTTGACTGTGCTTCTGGGCTACACATTAAGTTAATCCTCTGTTTATTTTAAAATAATATAATTGCCATTTTAATACTTTTTAAAGCTCCAACTTTCTAGCATGGCTGATATATTAACAACTGTACATTGCTGGATTTTCTTAGAAAGAACAAGTTTATTTCAACACAAAGATTAAAAGGATATAGAGCCCTTCTACATTGGCTCACCAACACAGCTCAGAACATTTTGAATTTTTTCTTTGAAAGCCACTTTCCACCTTACTGATTGATCAACAGATTTCCCTTCAAACACTTGAACCCAGTCTGCATCTAGTTTCTGGCTAAATTTGATTCAGGGAAATCTGAATCAAAATCAAAATCTTAGCTCAGCGAATGCTTCTGAACTCAAAGAAACTCTGGTGTTAGGACAACAGATAAGAAGACCAAGAAAACTGCCTATGAACTGTGTGACCTTGGGAAACTTCATTTTCTTTTCCACAGCTCCCTCCTCAAGGAAACACAAATGATTGCACATATGTGATAATGTGTGATGTGAGTCAATTCTGACTCATAGTGACCCTATAGGGCAGAGTACAACTGCTCAATAGTACAACTGTAACCTTTAGGGGAGATTGCCAGGTCTTTTCTCACAAGGAGTGGCTAGTGGGTTGGAACTGCTGACCTTTCAGTTAGCAATGGAGCACTTAACTGTTGCACCACCAAGCTTCTTTATGTGATAGTGCTATTGTTGTTAGGTGCTGTCAAGTCGGTTCTGACTCCTAACGATGCCCTGTACAACAGAACAAAACACTGCCCGCCCCTGCACCTGCCACACAACCGCTGCCACGCTGGAGCCCTTGGTGCAAGCAATGTGTCCGCCCATCTCGTTAAGGGTCTTCTTCTTTTGGGCTGGCCTTCTGCTTCACCAAACGTGCCTGATAACATGTCCAAAGTACATGAGATGAAGTCTCCCTATCCTTGCTTTTAAGGAACATTCTGGCTGTACTTCTTCCAAGACAGATTTTGTTCATTCTTCTGGCAGCCCATGGCACATTCTCAGCCATCACCATAATTCAAATGTATCAATTCTTCTTTGGTCTTTCTTATTCACTGTCCACCTTTTGCATGCATATGAGGTGACTGAAAAAGACCAAGGCTTGGATCAGAGACACCGTTGGCCTCAAAGTGATATCTTTGCTTTTTAAGATTTCTAAGAGGTCTTTTGCAGCAGATTTGCCCAGTGCAATACACCATTTGATTTCCTGACTACTGCTTCCAGGGGTCTCATTTGTGGATCCAACTAAAGTGAAATCCCTGACAACTTCAATATTTTCTCCATTTATCGTGAATGTTGCTTACTCGCCCACTTGTGACTATTTTGTTTTCTTTATGTTGAGGTGTAATCCATACTAGAGGTGGCAGTCTTTGATCTTCATCATAAGGTCCTCAAATCCTTCAGTTTCAGCAAGTAAGGTTATGTCATCTGCCTATCACAGGCTGTTAACAAGTCTTCCTCCAACCTTAATGCCATATTCTTCTTCCTATTACGTGATAGTATCAAACAAAACCAAACTCACTGCCATC